TAACGCCGCTATATAACTGGGCTATTGCTGAGTGCGGCGTTAAACAACAAACAAACAACGATGCTTAATGACTGAAAGAGTGAGAAAGCAGGCAACGTTTAACGAAGGTTTGGATATAATGTATTTAACGGCATGTGGGCGGGATGTGTCGGAAACCCCGATTTGCCCAGCGACCTAGCTAGTCTGTCTCACCACGTTATTTTCCCTTTCCCAGCCTAAAGGAAGCAAGTCAAAATGTCCTCTGAATCTCCACTCTAACTGAGGCTTATTTTCATTTTAAAAGAACGTTTTGCTTTTATCAAAATTATTTTACCTTCAGACACTGGGCGTTAGTCTACGACACAGCCACCTGTCGGCCATTTGTCACCCATTTGTAGTAACATCAAATTATATACTGAAAACCGCACTGACTGTACACCTGACGGGTAAGGTGTATTTTGCATATTTACTGCGTTTCCACTCACATCGTTTGATAGATAGAGAATACTAAACGATGTCCCGTGTAATGCCATATTCAAAAAACGAGTGAATTTGAATTTTTCAAATAAAAAAGAGAGCATGAAATAGGGACCAAATGACTTCAACCAACATAATATTTGTATGTATTTGTATGTAAATGCTATTACATGCAACCGAGTAAACAACAGTTGAACATCGCAAGATGTGTTTGTGTGAATGACAGCCGACATTTTGTTTTCATCACGTTACTTTGTTCATGTGACCGAGCGCAAATAGTTCCACCATGTGTAATAACATTGTAGATTAATTTTATTAAACAGTGCTATATTCAACGGGTGAGTAATAATAAGGCCATAAAATTTCCGAGTCCCGTGCTCGGATTCGAACCTCGGACCTTCTGATTAAAAGTGGGACGCCTTGTCCACATGACCAAAGAGGTCAACCCCGTCAGCAAGCTGACAAGGTAAGAATGTCATCTAAGGGATGACTCCACGCCCTGCTACATATACAATATGTACCGGGTAAGTAATTTTATAACATCGCATTGTTGTGTTGTAGCACTGATGTTTTCATGAGCACCGTGATATGTGACTATACAGTATTTCCAAACGCTGACGTAAATGCCCTCACAGGAAATAAATCGATCAGTACTTTGCTCTCTTTGTATTGTGACGCCTTCCGGTGAAAATGTCCGCTCTTTGCTAGATTTTCGTGTCTTGATTGTAGCGCCACCAACTGCTGTGACGCATTATGTCCCTTGGACCGCCTCCGTGGTGTAGTGGTTAGAGCGTCCGCCCGGAGAGCGGAAGGTCGCGGGTTCGATCCCCGACCGCGTCATACCAAAAGACGTTAAAATATGGTACTTGTTGGTCCCTGCCTGGCGCTCGGCATTTATTGGTACAACAAGGACTGGTCGGCTCGGAGTCAGTATAATGTGTCTGAGTGGGGTATTCATGCTTCACTGTGGCATGGTACCTCAGTGGGCTAGCACTATAAAACCAGCTGGGCTGGGCTAGTACAAGCAGCCGCACATACACATACACATGCATGCACGTCGTCATATGAGCGAAATATTCTCAAGCACGACGTAAAACCCAATTTCACCTCACCTCACCTCATTATGCCCCTTGTGTGTCCTCCGATTGACCAATCATCACTTTCATTTGGTTCAAACATGATGGCGACCACCGGTCAAAAAGATCTGATCTGATCGAAAGAAGTTTCATCTACTCGTACTTGAGCAGTTTGATTAAAAGGAGGGAAAGATTTAGAAAACAATCTGTCGACACTGATTTGAGGGAACACGTATTTTGCAAATTCTGGTGTGGTCAGTAGGTAGCAGTTGCCGTGTCGGTTTTGTAATGTATGGATTCCTAGAAGGGACATTGTCGCGTTATGCGATTTGGATTTCACTCTTCATAGGGCAGTGGGCAACTAGAATATAACAGAAAATTCCAGCACAGTTCGGTACGGGTAAAACTTAGACTTTTTCAGTCAGCTGACTGCGCAAAACACCATTTATAACATATACCAGATTCCTGATATTAATTACTAAGAGCATTTTTACAAATTTAGTGTAAATGTGCAATACATTATTGTTACGGCAATAAAGCTATGGAGACACAAACTAACGATGCGGACTACACACGTATTTTAACCGACGGGGGCAGGTCAATGAATGTCCCTTGCACAACACACAAAATGACTGTATTAACCAAATTTACTAACGTTAGGAAATATACGTTTCATCCGGCGGCCATATGAACAAGGTTTGAAATCTACGTATCATCTGGCTGTCAGATTTACACACGTTTAACGAACACTCAACTCTGCATTTACATGTATTTACCAGGTGTGTAAATCTGGCCATTGTTTTCATGTGTTTTCTAGCATGTGTAACATATGTAAATGCTGTGATTGTAGGACATGCATTTCAATATCTTTGAAATCTCGTATGACCAGAGTTAGGTTTGACATATATTTAGTACACTCGTAAATGATTGGTAATGGGTAAATAGAGTGTTACAAGATTGATACCACTTTAACACTTATTTTAATGGTTCTGAAATATAACTGTCACATCGGGTTCGTTAGTCATAATGCACTGACATAATTAGAAACAAATGCCGAAGTGATACCCATGACTGAGCACCACTATTAACGTGCGTGCCATATAACATGATGTCTGTTTAAAATGTTCAAATATCGGGTCTATGGGCCAGAGCGATATGTAGACAGACAGACAGACATACATACATACATACATACATACATACATACATACATACATACATACATACATACATACATACATACATACATACATACATACATACATACATACATACATACATACATACATACATACATACATACATACAGACAGACAGACAGACAGACAGACAGACAGACTATTTAAACAGACAGACTATTTAAACAGACAATTTAAACAAACACCATCAGACCGCCTCCGTGGTGTAGTGGTTAGAGCGTCCGCCCGGAGAGCGGAAGGTCGCGGGTTCGATCCCCGACCGCGTCATACCAAAAAGACGTTAAAATATGGTACTTGTTGGTCCCTGCCTGGCGCTCGGCATTAATGGGTACAACAAGGACTGGTCGGCTCGGAGTCAGTATAATGTGTCTGAGTGGGGTATTCATGCTTCACTGCGGCATGGTATCACAGTGGGCTAGCACTATAAAACCAGCTTAAGTCTGGGCTAGTACAAGCAGCCGCACATACACATACACATGCATGCACGTCGTCATATGAGCGAAATATTCTCAAGCACGACGTAAAACCCAATTTCACCTCACCTCACAAACACAATCTATGTGTACGGAGAATATTATAACAGGTTTTGGCACATAAAAGAGACAACTCTTTTAGGTTAAAAAGCACTGAGAACTTCCCTGCATCTGGGTTCTTCTAAGATCATCATAAAAAGGGCAATGTAAAGTAACATGAAGTTCACTTTCCACTCCATGGAAGGTACCCATCCCTGTTCACCGAGCACCGCGTCAGTTGGTGTGTATCTGCCCTCTCCCAGGTAGAACCTGCACGCCCTGTTCTGTACTGCGTTAATACATGAGTATTCTTGAAGTCCCAGACAGCTGCTCCGTAAGTGATAACAGGTAACACTATGTTATCGTAGAGTTTACGGAATACTGTGAAGCTTACATCACCAAGGGACTTACTCCAATCTTGTGTTTTTATTGTAAAACAAGTGTCAAGGGCGAGTGCCACGTTATCTTACATTGTCCACGTAATTGGTTTTCTTTCGACCAATTATGACCCTTGAATGTTAGAGTTGGTCATAAGATGCGAGAAACTGAACCAAATGGGCAGGCTCGTCTACTTGGTTTTTGTATGGTAATAGCACATATCGATAAACGTGAATGTAAAACCAGTGTCGAGGGCGAGTGTCACGTTATCTTACATTGTCCACGTAATTGTGTTTTCTTTCGACCAATTATGACCCTTGAATGTTAGAGTTGGTCGTAAGATGCGAGAAACTGAATCAAATGGGCAGGCTCGCCTACTTGGTTTTTGTATGGTAATAGCACAATCAATCGATCGATCAAAGTTTCTCTCTCGCCCAAAACGATATCCAAATAACACAATAGGTATACCTGCAATATATATCGTCCCGTTTGCTTTACTTCAACAGGCTGTTTGGTGAAATCGAGAGGTCGTATATTGCATGTATGTATGGAGAATTTGGCCGTATCTGGTATTCTCGTGTTGCTCAGAACACTGGTCTTCAAAAGAGATTGACATTGTAGGGGCAACTCTAACTCAATAGTCTAAAACACGAAAATCGTTCTGAATCAGTATGTCCCTAACCCATACCAGGATCCAGAGCGGTGGGTTTGAGTTCATGTGGTGCATGGGAACGTTTATGATATATGCATAAGTTTAACCATTTATTTCAAAATTAAGCAGCCTGGCTGTGCTGTAACTGAAGTGATGTTCAAAGCAGGATTAGTGAATGAGTTTATTTTTAAGTCGTTTTTTAGACTGACTGACTGAGTTTGGTTTTACGCCGCTTTTAGCAATATTCCAGCAAAATCACGGCGGGGAATACCAGAAATGGGCTTCACACATTGTACCCATGTGGGGAATCAAGCCCTGGACTTCGGCGTGACGTGAGAACCCTTTAAATATGTACAAAATCTACAATATGACAACATATTACTGAATGACATTGTTTGTGAGTGTTGTACATGTATAGGACCAAAACAAATAGAAGAAAATGGTAGCACGTTTTGAAATATACTATACACATAATGGGAACGTAAGGCCGTGGTAGGAAGGTGTGAGTAATTGATTGTTAATACATGATTGGGTTTTATTCCCGTTTATGATGTCCTCATGATAATATGTTCCTCAGCTTCAGTTTCATGTTATTTGCAGCTTGCCAAGGAAGCATTGACTGTGGTTTTTAACGAATGTATGTGTAATTGCTAGATATTAAATGACAGGGTTTATAATAACCTCAAGTTAAATATGTTCCTCAGCTTCAGTTTCATGTTATTTTCAGCTTGCCAAGGAAGCATTGACTGCGGTTTTGAATCTCAGAATGATTTTTGTGGCTGGAACACTTCAAGAGTACCATGGCAAAGATCTAATACCGGGACAGAGACTCCGGGTACTGGACCAGACTTAGGACGAAACGGTTCGTGTTTTAGATACATAGAAATAGTTTAATCTTACATGGAAATATAATGCTAATGAAATCGTTTGAAATCTTCAAAGAAAGAAAATGCTTTATTGTACCCCAAACGGCTTGGGCTGCTAGAATGTCGCTCAACATAAAGAAAAACGTGGCTATTGAATCGCTGATGTTTGAAAATATGTTCTAAGTAGTGTTGACTATTTGATGATATTGGCACATTTGCAAAATGTCCTACCACACACATGAACAATCAACTATCTTCTTCGACTTTCTAAAGGCATATAATATCAGCTGCACACATTTTGTGTTGAGACAACTTCATGCGGTTGCGTGATGGTACAAATTTGTGGATTAATTGTCATGATGGTGATATTTAAATAGAATTAATTCTTGCAAAACAACCAAAACATATAAAGTTATGATGATGATATTTAAATAGAATTAATTCCTCATCATTTGTAATCATAGGCATGTCATAGCAAGACCGGATGAACGAAGGAATTTCATGTATATTAGAAATGAAATATTTGACATACGTCACGGTGTTACGGTTCATGAGCATCTCTCTCTCTCTCTCTCTCTCTCTCTCTCTCTCTCTTATATGTATTATGTACTTGAAGTATTTAGACTGATGTCATATTGGCATAGATTAAAGAACACCAACAATAATTGAGTTTGGTTATCATGAAAATTAACAGGAATGCTTATTATAATAACCATCCCTCGTTCCTGCAACTATTTCTTAAATTGTAATCTGTGGCTCTATACTGTGTTTCAAACTATATTGGTTCAACGAGGAATGAACTAAGAGAGGAATTTGTAACCAAACATTACTATCTTGAAAGATAGTTTGAAATACTGTAAATATGTGGCTGAAATAAAACCAAATTTAATGATATTTAAAGACAGGATAGAAATCAACAGTTGTGTTTCATGCGATGTGATTAAGTTGTAAATCGTTATTAAAAAATAAAATAAAGAAGTATTCTTTGAGAACTGAAGTATTGAAGTACATATTTTGTGTACATAATGTCGCTAAGTTTAGAGATTTTTAGTTGAAAATCAAAGTATAAAATAGAAATCAACTGTGAGATATAGTTTATTTTTGCTCTGAGGTAAGATGTCCTTTGTCTTTCCAGGCTACTATGTATATTTAGATGCCGATGACTTCAAAGACAGTGGCAACATAGTTCAACCTGGAAGGTGTGTTATGCTGAGTCCGGCTTTTAACACCACTTCCAGAGGAGGCTGTTTCGAGTTTTGGTACCACATGAAAGGTTCTGGCATTGGTAACCTCTCTGCAACAGTTGTAGAAGATTCACCAACATCATCGATCATGAAGTGGGAGAGAAAAGGGTCACAGGGTTCTCAGTGGAATTGCGGATTTTTTACCCTCAACGGAAACAAGAATAACATAAAGGTATATAATAATTAATGAGCGAGTTGGGTTTATTGGTCGCTATTTCGGTTGTGTTGGTGTCAATTTGAATTCAGAACACAACAGAGGCAAGTCCTACACATTTACAACTTTGCTGAACCCAATAAGCACAGTAATTGTGCTCACCGAGACTTTTAATCGGACAGACATTAATCGGATCCTCGCCCAATTAAGGGTCGCAACTCCGCATATGAGACTCCGACGTCTTAGACCTTTGGGTCACTTATACACCAATACATGTTAATAACACATTTATATTAATTTGATCACTTTGTAACGTGTAAACATATGCTTTAACAAACAGGAATAGTTATAAAGTCCAAATTATGATGCTTTTACCTTAATGTATTTGTTTTGCGTTAGAACTTACATGCAATACCAGGAATCCTACAGAACTACACATATTTCTGTTTGGTGTACTTTCCTAACCATGGGATGTAAATTGTAACAAGCAAAACCAGGAAAACTGCTTCGGCAATGTCGCTATGTCAAATATCATTTGTTTTGTTAGAATCTAAGCCCACATACCACCTTGTATTAACAAGATTACCGATAAACATGTACATTGTTTCAGATTGAATTGACGGCATGGTCTGGCGATAATATTCTGGGGGATATTGCTATCGATGATCTGAAGTTGTTGGATGCAGCATGCACTGAATGTAAGTAGATTCACAGGGGTGCCTCACCGCCCCACAACAGGTACAGAAACAGGTAATACATAAAGTGCCTGCTGGAATGAGATTAGGCGGTGGGTACCTGTGGTTCTGGTGTCTAAGGTATCGGCCTTGAAGTTCGCTATGCGGAGTTGATTCCCTTGGTCGCGTAAAGATCCGCTGATCGTGAGTTATTCAAATCCTGTGTTAACGCTGGCTATTATCCTTTGTTTGTCACGACCAAAACCATGTTCGTGGGTTGTAGCAATGTGTTTAACATCTACGATCATACGACATTCCGATACGATGTACCAAAATCGCGCTGCCGTTGCTCAAGTTAAACCCTGGACGAAACGCGACCACAAAAGATATATGAAAGAAGCGAGAGTTCTTGAGTCTCTAAGACTGCTTTCTAAAACGACGCGACTTTATTTCGTCACCACTTCGTTGCCACGGCGCTCAAAAACGACATGGTGTATATGCTATCAATGATATGTACATATTGCAGCCTTTATTATTTGTTTAATCGGAACTGCCCATTTATGTGCATTTTGGGGACAGAAATCAGATACGCTGCTCCGATTGTTACGAATTTATTACAACCTGTGTGTCGTTTCGGAATTTCCTCCCAGGTCCATCTAAGACTGACCAGCTATGATATTATTGAAGTAATCATGTTCTGATATTACTGAGGGTAATTATTGTCTATTTTAGTCTCCAATAGGGCAAACCACGTCATAATGACGTGTTAAACAAACAGTTTTAGTTTTCTCAATGTTCTTGGCTTTGGATAACGGATCAGTTAAATACGATCTGATGTGATGTAAAAAATGACAACTAAAGTATCTGCAACTTTCAGCCTGTGTTGATGTCACGACAACACCAACGACAACGTCATCACTTATTAGCAGTACTACGCTGCCTGCATCCTCATCACAAAATACGACTGCTTCGCCTGTAGATGCTACGACACCATCATCGGGATTATCAGGTATCTAGCATTACATGTACTAGTATATTTTAAGTGGCAGAAATTCGTCAGTTGCGCCCCTTGATTTTGCCTGGATGTGATAAACATAAAATCTCCGTTCTCGTATGTAAATCCCTACGACCACAGCACTTCGTATTCGTTCCCTCTAAACGGCCAATATCTGATTCATTCGTTCTAGTGATCAAAGTTTCGTTATGATATCAAAATATTGTTCTGATTGTTACAGAATGAAGATCACAATAATCATGATGATTAAATAATGAAACCTGCTGAACATCTTCAAATGGATTTTATGCTTGCACTGTATTCGTCGACAACTGAGTTTAAACATTTCCTTATTGAAATAACATAAGAAACTTATACGTTTTTCAAAATTGTAAGCACGCGCGAGCCTTCATTATTAAATGAACAATTAAAGCGTTGGGTTGTTAATTCATCCCCACAATTCTCACAACTCTTTTCGATGTTATACTTTTTAAGTCAGGAACTGGATCTTTCCACCTCGATAGTAAAGAGTTATCACCCTTTGTAACAACATAACGTTCCATTCGTCACCTCTCGCCCCTTTCCGTAATCTCCAAGAACACACTCGCCCCTTTCCGTAAACTCCAAGAAGACTCGTCCCCCCTCTCGATGCTTGTTATGTGTGAAAATACGACAAACCAATCAAAACGCGCGTAAATGACCGCTGTGCTTTGATAAATAAAATCCCGAGTACTTAAATCGTTTATGGCATTATGTCATTGTTTAAAAAATCATGAAAAATATATATTGCCATATTGAAAGTACAAAAAACCTAGCTAACAGGATTTTGCTGCCTATCATGACGTTTTTAATAAGAATCATGCGATTGACGGTGAGAGATTCAAACACACGCACGTGCGTTTGTTGACAAAACGGCTCTCATGGGTCCAATTGAGTGTATTTCTGACGATCTTGCGGGCTTGTTATGGAGATTGTACGTGCGCTTCCAACAATTTTAGGAAATGTTTATAAATCGCTACGAGTTTCAAAACAATAATATTATATTTGTATGTAACTAATCAACTTTAATCTCAAACATTGGGCTTATATTTCACATCTCTGGGGATATTTTAGTCTGACTATTTTTTTGGTCATTCATATTTTGTTTCAGCGAATTCATTTAAAATTCCACCAGGAGTATGACAGCAAGATTACACGAATGTTCAGTTTGAGAAATTTTTTAAAGTCATGCTTGAGTATGTGCTTTGGGATTTAATGTAGCTGAAATTTTAAAACTTTTTTTGGCATATTCAATAAAACAATTCCCATTTGTGATTAGTGAACCCTAATAGGAAATATAAGGTTAACAGCTGGTAATAATTACATTAGAATATATCTTTTTCTCCTTCTTTTAGTTGTATCAGAGAGGTTTAATTATTTAAAATGAATAAGTAAACAAACCCCCAAAACAAGAACCTAGCAATACAATGTGCATGTGCTTCGGTGATAATTAAGAAACATAGGAATCAAACAGGGATAGAGTTATCGTTCTTGTTTACAGTAGTTCTTATGTTCATGCGCCAATATGAAATCCTTCGAGAGGGGCACGAGTCGCTAATCGGCTTGTCCCGGAAAAACACGAGTTGGTCACGAATGTCGCTATTCGGCTTGTCCCGGAATAACACGAGCTGGTCACGGATGCATAACGTTCGTGCAGCGTGCTTCATAGCTGCATAAGTCAGTCATACAGACAATTCACATTTGAAACTTTTATCCCAGTTTCGTGAGAATTAACAATTTAGGAAAAATTATTTATGTGAAGTCCTAAGCTTCCAGGGGCTTGTCGCAAGAGGCGAATTGATGGTGACGATTCAGGGGGTGAGTCTCGGGAACGTGACACATGGCGTGTCATCGAGTGAGTGAGTGAGTGAAATAGTTTGGGTATACGCCGCTGTTCGCAATATTCCAGCAATATTACGGCGGGGGACACAAGAAATGGGCTTCACACATTGTACCCATGTCGGGAATCGAACCCGGGTCTTTAGCGTGACGAGCGAACGCTTTAACCACAAGGCTCCGTTTCAATTTAAATGGGTTTATTTGTTACTATCAATATTACATATATTCAGGGACAACATTAGTCTACGTATAGTGGGGCGTTAAACAACAAATACATGCTGATTATGTATCGAAATATATTTTAAGTTCTACTTTTAACATACACACCGCACAAGCAATCTTATTCTTAAATCATCCCCGCAGTGTTCTTTTTATTCGAGTGTTTGAAGGATGTGCGCTGCATAGATAAACATTTTAAGGGGACACAATGGATTTTAGGTTTCCATTGACATGAGTTCAGATATTGATACATATTAACAGATAAACTCAACATTTGTTTATTATATTTTACATATGTTAATGACAGATCGAATGTTGCACCCATAATCATTATAATGAATCCATTGATTTGTATTAACATGTATTCCTTCCTTCCTTCATTCATTCATTCATTCGCGCATTCATTTAATAAATTGATTAACATAAACATTTGGAGTATAAATATAATTGAAAATTGATTTAGCCTTTTCAGGATTTCGACACACCAAATTATGTATTTCTATGCTAAGTGCTTGCAAAAACGTGTCACCTGCATCAATTTTACAAAAGGCTAGAATTTATACATACTATGCTGTAGAAGAAGCTGAATATATCTGATTCAGTTTATAATATACTTTTTATACTGTTTCTCAAATGCAAAATATGGTTTCGTATTATTACATCTTCTCAAAAGTAACTGCCTGTCATTTATCAACCAACGTAGATAGGTAACTAACATACTTGTACGTTTATAAACGCAATGCTTTGTTTCTAGATCTGACAAGGATGATTATCTACATCAGTGTAATTCCTGTTGGGGTACTTTTCATTGGAGTAACTGTGGCCTGTATTTGCTATAGGTCAAGGTAAAAAGATTTTACACACCGATTTTTTTCCTTGACGGAAGAATTTACTTCTGCTTAATACATTATATCATTCTGGTACGTTTTTGTAAATTGTGCACACAATTGTATTATACGAACTACATCAAACTACACTATTTTATTCCAAATATTTTATCATACCCAAACCTGCAAACCTGGTTTAGAGAGCTTTAAACTTGGAGAACAAGGAATAACGGACGGTTTGACAAGGGAGAATTAATTTGGTAATATTCTAACCTTCGGGGTGAACAGTAACTTTACTTTACCATGTTTAGTATTTTTTATGTATTTCCCGTAGTCTCTGTCTTTGTTTTTTGTGTTCAGCTATTGTCGCTTTTTGTTTGGATGATGTCACATAATAGCATCTTTGAAGTCATGAACATCGTTGGCTTGTCGTAAGAGGCGACTAACGGGATCGGGTGTCATCGTATCCCAATTGCGTAGTACGATGCTTATACTGTTGATCACTGGATTGTCTGGCCCAGACTCGATTATTTACAGACCATCGCCATAAAGCTGGAATATTGCTGAGTGCGACGATAAACAACCAACCAACCAACCAACCATGAATATCGTCAAGTATTTACGACAATGCATAAATCTTTATTTCACAGGAAAGGGAAGGAAGTATATAAGCCAGACATTGAGGTGAATCACACCAACGAAGGATTTGATGAAAACGGCGAGGAGGTCTACCACGAACTGGACGACAACACTATGCTTGAAAACGCTCATAATGATTATACTGTTCCTACGAGTACATTACCCTCCAACAAAGATGGTGATACCATCCAATATGCCTATTCAACCTCTGGAGCAGCTAATGCCTTTAGGGAAAGTAAAGCAGAAGATCCAGATGCTGGGGCGTACACACGATTACAACGTCCCACAGACGAGGATGCTGCTTCTGTTGACAGCAATTACCTCGAACCTGTAGCTGGCCCCGATGACGGTAGTAGTGGCATTGCACGGAACCTCGACAACAGAGATTCATTGGACACATTTCATTCCGGGATAGACAGAGATGGGGGCAGTGTTCCTCATAGTCCAGACTGGTTAAACCAGAATGTCCCAACACCAAAGCAATGTGGACCACTTTATCTAACAGCAATCCATAAGCCATAGGTATTTTATTGATGTGCAAATATACTTTTCTGCTTTGAGCCAATGTGTGTTTGGGGCGGTTGGGTAGCTTAGTGGTTAAGGCGTTCGTTCGTCACGCGGATAACCCGGGTTCAATTCCTCATATGAGCACCATGTGTGAAGCCCATTCCTGGTGTCTCCCGCCGTGATATTGCTGGAAAATTGTTAAAAGCGGCGTAAAACAATAATCACTCACTCACTATGTTTGTTTATTATATTCAAAAGTATACGGTGTTCAATAACTAAATACGATTGGATAAAGAACTATTTTGTAAGGAGTCTTTTTTGTATTGGGACAGGCATAATGAAATTAAAAGAAGAAAGTTCAGCCAAACATCGTTGTATCGAAGTTGGAGGGACATACGTAAACACTTCGAGCTAACCAAGACCCGGCACAAACGCTTAATCCTTTGAGGAAACTCATTAAAGTTCGACACAACGGGTTTTGGCGGCTGTTATTATAATTTCAGCAGATGAAGGAATCATAAAATGCCAAGTTTGGCAACCTACCCCACTGGAAACATAATAACGTTTATTACAGAAAAACGATTGAATACAAGCGTCAATACAAGGGATTAACCAGTCATCAAATTATAAAATACGAAAATATATAATACTTCTGCTTTGTGCTTAAAAGATATTAAACCGGTACAAGGATTCGTGTGTATTCAAATCACAAACTTTCATGATAACTCCTGTCGCCTTGAAATCAGTCCTAAAAGAGACGACTGAATGATCCCGAAAATATTTTGGTGCATGTCTTTATGAATCAATATCAAATACCAGAAGATATTATGGTTAAAGGTTGGCTTCATCCGGAAACAAAATATCAATAAATATTTGTGAACCGTTTGACGTCTCTCAGGGACATTTAAGGTTGTGAGCCTTCTTTCGATCTAGCCAGCATGAACAATAATGAGTTTCAAATAGAAATATATGCATGCGAAGAAAGTTCACGCATCGTACATATATATTTTCATTATATTTATTGAAATCTAAAAGATGCTGGTACTCACGAATATCCTATTCAGACTTTCTAGACATTGCAGTTTTATCTGGCCGCTCTGTTCATAACGTCTTTGTAACACTTGTATTTCTAGAAGCTCCACAATTAAGTTAGTCTGTCGTACAGACCCTGAAGTAAATATATCCAAGAAAGCCCACGCAAGTCTAGAAAATGTGGCAAGTCTAGATTTCCTCAGCTTCAGGAAAATGAAGAAAGTCTCAGTGCTCCTTTTCATTATATATATATTTTTTTACTATGAACTTTTTTTCAGTAAAATATGTTCATTTCAGAGACTAGTTGTTAGTCTACAATTCAGTGTAAACAGTTTTCTACAGAACCCATAAATGCAATTACTGTACAATATGCTGAGAGAGAACGCTGCATATATTGTGGTTAGATAATAATGTCTTTCATCACAATTACATGAATTCAGTTTAATGTTTGAGGATTTCATCATATATTTGCATATCTTGCTTCTTTGTAATATAATCTACAACCGTCTTTGAGTGGCATTTTAGAAGTTGGGACGTACAATATTGAACAAATTTCATGGATAACAATTTCTTTCATTTCTTGAGTGCGACGTTTCGATACAGATTCTTGAATGATTAATTCTTGATAAGGGAACAAGAATCTGTATCGCAACGTCGCACGAAATAAAGAAGTTATTATCCATAAAGTTTGTTCAATATTATAATATATTATATAATATTATATAATCTGCAATGCTGTCCGTATTTTTGTGTGTTTCGCATCTCTTGCCTGCTCTTATTTTTCATTTCCACGTTAGATAATACATACGGTTTTCTTATCTCAACATTTCCTTCCGCTATGCAAACGTTCACGCCATAATGTGACAGAAATATACTCTTAATTCTGCATTTTCATAACAGAACGGGGTTCGATTCCCCACATGGGTACAATGTGTGAAGCCCATTGCTGGTGTCGCCGCCGTGATGTTGCTGGAATATTGCTAAAAGCGGCGTAAAACTAAACTCCTTCACTCATGTTCTTGCTGTTTGAGGAAGGACATGAGAAACACATAAAATACGGATGACCTGGCAATGTGACAACTGGATTAATTTCACAATTCTACAGACCCGTGAAGGTCCGGGTTAGAATTGATCTTCAGTAACCCATGGTTGTCGTAAGAGGTGACTAACGGGATCAGGTGGTCAGGTTCCTTACTTGGTTCACACATGTCATCGTATCCCCATTGCGTGGATCGATATCATGCTGTTGATCACTGGATTGCCTGGTCCAGACTCGATTATTAACAGGCCGCCGCCATATAGCTGGAATATTACTGAGTGCGGGCGGCGTAAAATTAAACTCACTCACTCCTAATGCTACAACGACAGCACATTTATTGTAGCTTTGACGCAAGTTATTGTTCTTTGCCTGTTTTAATATCTACAAAAAAAACACTGTTACCGCCGGTGAAGGAGAAAGGCCCAAACGTTAGGCAAAACATTGTGATGAATTTTGTCAACCAGAATGAAGAGAGTAACACTGAATAAAGTTATATACATTTTTTATGTGACTTCATATTTGCCGAGGACCTGTGAGTATCCGGGTTAGAAATCGTCGTCAGCAACCCATGTTTGTCTTAAGAGGCGATTAACGGGATCCGGTGGTCAGGCTCGCTGACTTGGTTGACACATGTCATTGTATCCCAATTGCGCAGATCGATGCTCATGCTGTTGATCACTGGATTGTCTGGTCCAGTCTCGATTATCTACAGACGACTGCCATATAGCTAGAACATTGCTGAGGGTGGCATTAAACACCAACAAACCAACATATTTGCCGAAAATGGTAACCTCAGTGCACCTCACTCAGAAGAGGGCGCTGTCGTAACCCAGTGTTTGCTCGTCACATCGAAGGCCCGGGTTCGATTCCCCACATGGGTACAAGGTGTTAGGCTCATTTCCGGCGTGGCCCGACGTGATATTACATGAATATTGCTTGAATCGGCGTTAAACCTATGTCACCTACTGGGAAAAACCCAGGTTCAATTCCCACACTGTATGACACCCATTCTTGGTGTCTCAGACGTGATTTGAAAAAAACTGGATGGGATGCAGTTAAAGTATAGTATTGGTAAGTAATTAACAGACACAAGGGGATATATAGTTATACATTATAGTCTGTTTGCAGTGAATAAAATTCTGAGTGAGTGAGTGAGTTATTATTTAACGTCATATCGGCAATATTTCAGCCATATCGTGACATTGAAATGGAATATATGTATATTATAAAAACCTGTCGACGAAGGACAGTAAAACAACTAGAATATCACAATTACGACTAAAACTAGTGTGGAAAACTAATAGCACTATTTGGACAATACAATATAAAACTGGCTATAGATCGCCAACAACTGAAGGTAGATCACCAAACTAGGGACCATGGGGACTTACAGTACTTTTGCTACCTGCAATAAAATTCTGAAATGTACATGTTCAATTGGCAAGGTAAAGTTATGAGGATTCGCAATCTTAATTTCACTTTATTCGATTTACTTTTTGTTTCAAGTGAAATTCACTGGTACGTTTTCACTGCAAACAGACTATAGGTGAGGTGAGGTGAGGTGAAGTAAGGAGAGTGAGGTGAGGTGAGGTGAGGTGAGGTGCTAGCTCAGTGAGATACCATGCCGCAGTTAAGCAAGAATACCCCACTCAGACACATTATACTGACTCCGAGCCGACCAGTCCTTGCTGTACCCATTAATGCCGAGCGCCAGGCAGGGACCAACAAGTATGATATTTTAACGTCTTTTGGTATGACGCGGCCGGGGATCGAACCCGCGACCATCCGCTCTCCGGACACTCTGAGCACTACACCACGGGGGCGGTAGTACACTAACATGCCCCTAGTTACACATACATGTAGAACATATCAATAAATGCGATCCTGTCCAGATCCCACTAAGGTGGTATCCACATAGATGGTATCGAACAGCCTGCTACATCTGCGACTGGTCCGCCAGACATAATGAATATTGGTCGAGTAAAAATCTGGACAAACGTGTTCTTGTAAGAGTAGCCTCCCCTTGACCATACAGATAGGTTGTCGCGAAGTTGAAATATACTATCTGTTTTGTATTGAGCTGGCGTGGATTAACAACATGACACGATAGTGAGCTTCTCTCAACTGTATTCAACTTCGGCGGCATAACCACATGGCGAGATACACACACTGCGCATGCGTGGTTCCAAAAACTTATACAGGCAAATTTTACGAACTGTTATCAAATGTAGGAGTTTAACCGAAACGAACATCTTACATCCCCGCTTTTTTATAAGCTCAGACACTAACCACAAACTTAACTACAAATAAAAAGTCACTTCAATGAAACAAAGTTCTTGCAGGTATACTGCCACAGTTTTTTTTCAAGTCATTCAAAGATTGCCCGTCCTCTGGATGAATAGGCAATTGGTTGTCAAAGGTCCACTGGGACCATAGGTTGAACTCCTGACTGTGGTGTACTGACCACATGTGTTGACTCGGTTGGACTATCATTGCTTTTAGCAGCCAGATGATCTCCTGGTACACTGGAGATAATCTCATTGGTGGAATGCAAGTCTCTCTTGTTGCGACGGTACTCTGCACTATCATCAATCTTGACATGGTATGAACGAGGTGTGTTGGCGTAACCCGTCCCGACACCTGGTATCCAATCCTTGCCTTTGCACAGCTGATGACTTTAGGTTTCAGTAAATCTGGATGACTGGGTAAGTCAGTTCTGAGACGTCTTGACGTAAGTAGCAGGGCAGGAGAAGATCCCAGTGTTGCGATAAGCAAGTAGAGACCAATAAGGATCATCGTCACTCTGCTTAGTTTTAAGCAATAGTCGTTTCACAGTCTGTACAGACTTTTCAGCTAGACCATTTGCTTGTGGATACAAGGGTGAGGAGGTAATATGTTCAATGTTCCACTTTTGAACAAATTCTCTGAATTCCTCTGATGCATACTGTGGCCCATTATCAGAGACAATTCTGCTCGGTACACCATGCCGTGCAAACATCGACTTCATGTGAGAAATCACAGTCTTCGACTTCTACTACAAGCAGATAGTCAAGTCCATTCAACTGGAACAAATCAGTTGCTACGAACTGCCATGGTAACTTCACTGGGTATCATTGCACTGTTTCACCCTGTTCTGCTGACAAGTGCCACAATTCTCAACAGTTCTCTCAATGTCAGCTGTCATACGCGGCCAGAATATGACATCACGAGCTCTCTCCTTGCACTTGACAATTCCCATATGGCCTGTATGTATCCTCTCTAACATCTCCTTTCTCATGGTAATTGGAATAACAATTTTGTCACTCTTGTAGACAATTCCATCTATAACTGTCAATTCATCACGGAAATTCCAAAATACCTAGATACTGCTTGGACAATCATGCAGATTCTGAGGCCATCCGTTCATGATTATCTTCATAAGCATCAAATGTTGACTATCCTCACTACTTTTCTTTCTGATCTCTTCCATCTTCTTGTCAGATACTTGTAAGTTGCTTGTCACCATGTGTACATATGACTGGATATCTTCATCAAGAGACAGGTCTTCTTTTTTGTTTGACGAAGACTCTATGAAATGCCGAGACAGCATCTCTGCTACAGGAACATTCTTCCCAGGTGTGAACTCTACATCTGCATCATAGATCTGAAGTCTCATTCTCATGCGTTGAAGTCTCAGGGGAATAACATGTAATGGCTTCTTGAAAACAACTTCTAGTAGTTTATGATCGATTCTGACTTTGAAATTTCTCCCAAACAGATAGTAGTGAAAGTTTTCACAACGAATCAGAATGGCAAGCATTTCCTTTTCTATTTGGGCATAGTTCCTCTGTGAGTCAGTCATTGCCTTCGATGCGAAAGCAACTGGTGCCTTCTCCTGAAATATGACTGCCCCTAGACCATTCTGTGATGCGTCAGTCTCAAGAGTCACTGGCTTCTTTGGGTCAAAGTACTGTAAAATAGGCCCTGGTGACTTAGTGATCATATTCTTGATTTCTTTAAATGTTGCTTCATGTTCCGGTGTCCAACAGAACAAAGTATCTTGCTTTGTTAGTTCACGTAGTATGTATGTCTTCTCTGACAAACTTGGAGCGTATTGTGCCAGATAGGTAAACATGCCTAAGTACCCTTCAAATTCCTTCTTGCAAGTTGGAGTGTTCATGTCTCTCACAGCCTGAACTTTATCAGGATGTGGTTTCATCACGTCAGCTGTAAGAATTTCACCAAAGAATTTCACCTCTTGTTGACAAAGCTGAGTTTTATCTGGATTCAGCTTAATACCCTTCTCCCTGGCTCTCTGGAGTGTTTGTCTGAGACGACTATCATGTTCAGCTGTCGTGCTACCTGAGATCAAAATGTCATCAACAATAGGGTGAGTATGGTCCAAACCCTCAAAAGCACTGTCCATTCTCTTTTGAAAGATCTCGCTAAATTTTTGTATCCAAAGCTAAAGGGCCCCTTCGTACAGCATGTACAACTGGTACTACATTTTCCTCAATCTGTATGCAATATTCATCTTCGATACATCCAATTCCTTGGAATACATCGTTGAATTCCTTAAGATTCTCCCTTGAAGCTGATTCACAATCTGGAGAGTTTGTGATTGTCAACACAACCTGTATCAAGCCCATCTCTCTACAAGCTTTGAGTCCCAATACTGGAGGTGAGTGTACATCATCATGAGCCTCCACGACGAAATAGAAGCTCTTCGACACTTCCTTGTACTGACATTGTAATGTTGTCAGTCCTAAGATCCTCAGTGGAACACCATCATATCCCTTTCTCGCCCCCTTTCTGCTCTGTGCAAATTATATCACTGGAAGAGCAGTAAGTTGACACGAGACTTGTTAAACACCCTGTGAAGATTTTATACCGAGTATTCAAACATGTTATAATTATTAATGCGCATATTCCAGGGAAACTTGCTGGGTATAGATACTGTTCGTGAGAGACAAACTATTCATTTTGATAAGTGAGTGCGTATGGTTTTACGCCGCTTTTAGCAATATTCCAGCAACAACATGGCGGGGAACACCAGAAATGGGCTTCACGCATTGTAACCATGTGGGCGAGCAAACGCTTTAACCACTAGGTTACCCAAACACCTCTTATTTTGATGACAGGATTTAAGATTGACATTGCCATAATTCGCAAAATACGATGTTTATTCCAAATACATGATATTAACCACCTCACCTCTATGTATACTTCAAGCAAACAAACGTAGTCCCCAGAACAGGGATACCAAATTACTTGAGAAAAGATGCTCTTGCGCAAATCTGTTAAGAGTGAGTGAGATTGGTTTTACGCCACTTTCTGCAACATTCCAGCAATATCACTGCGGGGGACACCAGAAATGGGCTTCACACATTGTATCCATGTGGAGAATCGAACCAGGGTCTTCAGCGTGACGAGCGAACGCTTTAACCACAAGGCTACCCCACCACCCCAAATCTGTTAAAAACTAATTATGATGAAATTTAAAGTTATTCCGCCTTTAAAAAAATACGTTTAATCTCTGAACATAATCCACGACTTACAGTTTCAGAAGGCAACACATCCTTTAAAATAATAATTGTGAAATGTTTAGGTGCGTGCATATAAATGTGGTGCATCTGAATGTAATTCAGTGTTTAATGCACTTTACAACAAACTTACACACACAAAGGACCAGACAGGCCAGAAAAATAAAGCAAACTCTCTAGGGTGAAATCACATTATAGGTGCACATATTGCTGTTCATATTGCTTTCTTTATAATCCTTCACCTATGTGACGGAGTGCATAAAATGTTTTGAAAGCGCCACTAACTCAGTAGCAGTAGTGAGTGAGTGAGTTTAGTTTTAAGCCGCTTTTAGGAATATTCCAGCAATATCACGGAAACTTTTCTAATAGCGTATGACTGATCCCAGACATCAAGCTGTTGCAGTAGTCGAGCCTTGACAAGCGCCCGGACTTAAGCATGGGTGGCTTCAGCTGTAAGGTATTGACGAATGTTGCTGATAGAGCAGAGCTGAAAATAGCAGGTCTTACAGATATTGTTCACCTGTGTTTCCATTGACAGTGATGTGTCGAAGTATACGCCTAGATCTTTGACGGGTGAGCTTAAAGTAACAACTGCATTGGCGATGGTTAGACCTTTAATGGGACATCTTGAAATTTGGTGACTTGTTCACACCAGGAGTGCCTCAGTTCTCGTGTCATTGAGTTTGAGCATATGAGTTGTCATCAAGGACTTGATTTCCCTTGTTCAGTTTGTGTGTTCTTGAAACGACTGACTTTGATTTTGCAGAGGTATCTTCTTGAGGAGCTGAGTGTCAACAGCGTAAGAATGATGCGACATATTGTGGACTGATGTGATGTTGGCAGTATGACCAGTATACAGCAGGAACAGCAACGGGCCCAAAACAGATCCCTGTGGTACTCCATGTTTGAGAGTAATGCTGTCAGATCTGTCTTTCCCTATCATTACACACTGCCGTCCACATTTACCCACACATCAGGCTGATACGAAGTGATATGGCTTAACCTATTCACCAATTCATATTCAATCGACTGGCTTAAAAGAGAACTAAGTTATGAGCGGTGTTAAACATCTCCAAATGACACATGAACATGGTCGAAGAAACTGTGAGGGTACAACCTATGTGCTTAAGTATTAAAATAAGTAGCAGTTTTACCACAGCCCTCTATTTTTAAGTTCGTCCAGGTAACTCAGGAGTACATTTGCTTTTGCCACATTCATCCCAAGTCCATAATGCTCACCATCGAAACTCGTCATTCCGTCAGTCATGTTAAAAGTGTCGAAAACTGGAATTTCCCATGTTTTTAGGAAAGGAGCCATGTTGACATTGTAACGTTGAACACTTTCATAAGACTGAGCTAACATTTTGGGGGACTTCATTATACCAGGGGCGTGACTAGTTGCCCACAAAACTTTTGGCCAAGATCTCTTACTGTCCCTCTTGTAAGTCAGTGTCGGTAAAAGATACTTTGTTTGAACCACTTTATGATTAAAATTGTTATGAATTCCAATACCAACTAAAAGCAGTGACTTGCTGTTCGAATTAACAACACGTTGTTTCAATTGTTGGCCTTGGTCCGCGGAATAAAGGTAATTTAGCTCCAGTCTAACTGAACCATTGCAAGCGTGAAGAGTGTACTTGAGATGCAATCGACAAACCTTCTCTGTGAACATATTCATTCCGCTACATATGTTTCTTACATCTGAAAAACACCAAAGAAGCATCATGTAAACAAATTACCATTCTAATGCAAAGACACAAGTTGTATTCTACAGATAAATGTGTGCCAGGAGAGTATATGATTGTGCGAACAATTATTCAGACTTTACCTTTTGAAACTTTCAAAGCTGAAATACAGCAGATTCTAACTTACCCTTTGGTACGTTATCGTTCACAGCTCCATCTTTCATATTCCCTGTCACAATCAACACCATAGCTGTATATACATGGCGGACAAGGGAATCCCCAACAAACAGAATGGTGCTGCCATTGAGGATGCTGCAAGCTTCTTGGGACTGTGTTGCTTGTAGCCATGGCTTGGGTCTGATGGGATCCAGGTGGAATATTCAGCATGTTTCTGGTTCCTCATGTCATAACAATCCGCACACACACATTCCTCCACAGACTTCATAACACACTTGTTGTTAAAGCAGCAAGGAGTTGTTCCTTTAGGATCACACAAGGCTCTTATCCACTCCGCAACTTTAGATCCCGTGTGGGTGACGTTTCCACAGAGACCATCACTCCTTTGATAATTTGATGGTAAACGGAATCGGGCATTTGCGTTTGAAAGAAATGTCAATATATCCTCATCTTCCTTTTTCGTCAAAGGTCTTGTCTTCCAATGTCCATTCATCATACGAGAGAGTGTCATCGAAGACATCTGATAAGGAGTGAGATGTTTTTCTTTTTCAGCAGGTGGAGGCTGGTGAGTGGTGAATATAATCCAAGTAACATAAAACACCGACAGTGCTGTCACCACCGCAACTAGTTTCCTGCAGGATCTCATGTTTTCCGGAATTAGATTAACTCATCCTTCAAGGTGATAGTTAACGTCAGTTTCTGAAAATATATAAACGTTGATTTTAACTGTAAACACCATCTCAAGCTCTTCTCGAATAAGATTGAAAACAAAAGATTCCATGGACAAGGAAAATTTGCAACTGGTATGTTACCGTCAAACACAAGCGTGGCAGTTGGATTTATATAGATTAAAGTGTGCTTTAAAGAGGGTAAACAATTGTGTAGATTGCAGCGCCTGTCCTGATTCTATTAATGTGTTAACGACTGCTATTCGTGCTGCTACGGATGGTACGGTAGAAATGCATTAAATGTCCGCATGGGAAATAGTTCCAATGACGGTAACAATACAGCGTAATCGATCAAAGTGCAAAGTAAAAGATAAACCAATTATAAGTGGAATACACAGTACAATGCACACAAAACGCTTTAAACACAATGTACTAAAGGAACTTTTTCAATCAGAAAGGGTTCTCTTAAAAAAGTTTGAATTTACCGATTTAGTCACGATTTGGTAATTACTGAACAAGAGACCACAATTCCTTCTTTCATCAGTCATCGTTAATAATTTAAGTCCTCGTTACTGGAGTACCTGCAGGCATGATATGCTGTTTTCATATTAACCTTTCTTTTTATTTTTTCTTGGAACATGGGACACAGGTGGCACAGTAGTGTAAGGCACGATGAGTATGCGATTGTAGATTATTGATTGCCGGTTTGAATCCCATATCTGTACTGTTGGGTTGGGTTGGGTTGGGTTTTCACGTCTTTTGACTTGACACAGCCGGACAATCTAACCACCGAGCATTTGTCTTCTCTTTAACATTGTAGTAAACGACATTCTGCATTTTGTCATCATTACGAGGGGGTGCGCACGTCAACTATAACATTGAAAACGTAGTTTTAGGATTGTATAGTTCTGACTGATAAATCAGAGAAGGGCATTTTCAAAATCCATTGTAGCGTTATACAAATACATAATGTGTATTTTTATTGTTATTTTAAGCGATTATATTACACGCTCCAAAATAAGAAACGCATAGGGAAATAATCAGGATGCATAGTGTCTTTATTCAAACAAGCATATCCCATAGCAGAATGAACCTAGAGAGCCAAAATTTTGTACACATATTGACAACTGCATTCTGAATAGTGTCATTACGTTGTCATAATAGTCACTGAACAAGGTGTAGTCAGTACCTAGTATGAGCACCACGAGCTGCTATCACTGCTCGACACCTCCTCGGAACAGACCGGATGAAACGTTGGATTCTTGCCTGGGGAAACCTCCGCCATTCCTCTTGTAACGCCACTGCAAGTTCTCCAAGCGTCTGCAGGACCCGTTGGCGTTGACGTACACGTTGATCCAGCTCATCCCAAAGATGTTCTATGGGGTTCAAGTCTGGGGACCTGGACGGCCATTGCAAGACATTAATGTTTTCATTGGCTAGGTAGGCCATTGTCACACGTGCCGCATGGGGTCGGGCGTTATCTTGCTGTAAGATCTCTCGCTGGCGGTTGATAATGGGACGGACGTGTGGACGAAGAATCTGGTTGATGTACCGGTTTGCATTTAGATGCCCCTGAACTAGCATTAAGTCGGTCCTATCGATGTATGATATGGCACCCCACATCATAACACTCACCCACCGAAGCGATCGACCTGTCGTACGCAGTTGGGCGCGTAACGTTCATTCCTACGTCGGTACACACATTGACTACCATCATAGTGTTGCAGGAGAAAACACCTCTCTCAGACGGTTGCAGATCGTTTGGTCGGATACTCGACGTACACCTGGCACATGTCCTACTCATCCGTGGCTGTGGCTTGCCGATGACGTAGGTGGAACACCCGGATGTACCTATCCTGAGCAGGGGTAGTCACTCGTAGTCGTCCACTTCTTTGCGATCTCGCGTCGAATTGAATGCTGTATAACGGGCCTACAGACGAGATATTGTGCTTTGGTGGACGTTATAATGATGTGCAACGGCAGATTGACTTTCTCCAGCTTCCAGACGTCCAGTAACAATGTTCCGGTCAGCGGCATTCAGTCTTGGCATTTTGCGTCGTTCATTCCTCATCAATATTTGTGATACAATGGAGTAAATGTATCGGGCTTTTATAGTCATTGTCTCTACTGATGGATTCCACTCATTTCACGTGCATTGTGATCAACATTTGCGTTGCACGATAATTTCATGCAAGTTCTTCACAATTGCTGACAACGGTAACATTAAGTTTTTTGGGTTGTGTTTGCGTGACATACCCAAGGCATTAAAAATCACATACATCACATCATTCAACCATTAACATTGTCCATAGATCGATTGCCGATATAACAATGCAATAGAAAAATTTCAATCTCCCTATGCGTTTCTTTTTCGGAAGAGTGTATTTGGGTGATTGTAACACACACACACACACACCATCCCCCACATATCAACGCAGCTGACAACAAATTACTTCCTATAACAAAATAAGTGTATAATGACAATGGACGTATCCACCTGCTGTTCGAGTTATCTGTGTCATTTCCACTCATGCAACATGAATGATTTGTGTAAAAACCAATTCTGGACCAAACAATCCAGTGATCAACAGCATGAGCATCGATCTATGCAATTGGGATACGATGACATGTATAATAATGTTTAGCGAGCCTGACCACCCTATCCCGTTAGTCGCCTCTTAGGATGAGCATGGGATGCTGAAGACCAGTTCCAATCTGGACCTTCAAGGGTCTTGTCAGTGAGTAACACCATTTCCTGGGTTATGATTGACCATGTTAGACATACGAATATGCAGAATTTTACATTTACAAATATACTTTGTCTCAGTTTCCTCCATCTCCTAAACATAAGTTGACCTGAAATGAATTCGATCTTCAGTATGAAAACCGACAGATTTAGGTCAGTGAAAATGGCGAATTGTGTGTCTCGGGACATTCCAGTTGGTCAGTCATGATATTAGCTTGCAAGAGGCGATGGGTTAACGTTAACCTCTCAGAGGGGTAGTGGATATAGTGTCTGCTTGGGAAGTTGAAAGTAATAGGTTCGGTACCAGGCCACCTTCGTGCCAAATACGTTGAAATAAGTACAGTGTTTCCATTAATTTGATAAGCATTTGATATAAACATATTTTATTCATGAAATATTAACATGACATGAATATGGATTGGCACAACATACCAACGGCTTATGTGAGTACCGCTCCATAAATATAATACATCAATACAATCATTAATTAATTTCAAACAAAGTACAGAAGAAATTATTTCCACAAGGGCATGGAATGCTTAATAACAGGAAAAAGTCTACCAAATTACATTAAATGATTCGCTAGTTACAGTTTAGAATCATTTGAATCTATTTGAAAGTAGTATGTATTTGTGAACAGAGTCAAAACCATTAGTGTAGAAATATTTATCTGATCTTATTAAGTCATAACAAGGGCAAGAAAAGAAGTAATGGAGAGAATCTTCTCACGGATACCCTCATGCACAATTCGGATTATTTGAAATATGTCTATCAAAACAATGAGCGTTCAAGTCACTACAACCCAACCTGAGGCGAGCATGGATTATTTGACAAAATCTAGATCAAAAGTTTTTATCAAAGAGAATATTTCCTTGTTTGGCCTGTAATCGTGTTTTGAACGAATTTACTGATTGTGAGTTAATTATTTCGGTTGGTAAATTGTTCCATAAACGCATGGTGTCTGGTAAAAAGGAACGTGCATACGAGAGTCTATGGCAACGAATTGTGCGAATACTATCAGTATTTCTCAAATTGTAAGAACTTAAAACTGAAACATGTTCTGGAATTAAATCAGATAAGTAGTTTGAAGTAAGGTTATTATTCATTTTGTAGAACAAAGTAATTTTTTCATTTCTCTACGCTTAACTAATGGTATGAAATTGGTCTCCTTGTAGATTTTTTCATGACTAGATCCTGATAATCATTTGGACAGGATAATGATTACGTCTCTTCGTATTTGCACTCAGTCATTAAAAATATGCGTCCGGGTCCTTAAAATTAGCCGTTGTATTAGCATCGTCTTTTCGTATTGCATATCATGAAAAGAGTTTGATATATTGGACATGCAACACCTGTGCATAACCTGCCATACAAGTCTACATATACAAAACAAAAACACCTTCACTGTTATGAACATGGCGCTCAAATCAATAGTTGTCTATTGAAAGAGACAATCAAACAAAGGTAGTTACTAAAACGCTGAAACGAAATGAGAATTGTGATAATTAAAGGTTTACCTTAAAGTGCTATTTGACGCTTGCTATTAGTCATCTGCAAAATGTTAGTCACAAAATGATCTTTTGTTAGCCTCGTGTACCTACGTTATTCTTGGACCTGCAAATGTCTGGACTTGTCTGCCACATACGTGTTAAACTGAGACGCTTTGGTTGACATACCTGTGGCTTGATGAGCTATTGCTGAGTTAACAATACAAAGCCCGATCTCTTCCGCC